ACCTTGGATTAAGGGAAACCTACGTACCAAATTTCGTTGAGATATCTCAATTTTTGCTCGAGTTATCGTGTACACGGACAGACGGACAGACGGACGGACAGACAGACATGGCTTAATCGATTTCTTTTTTCATCCTGATCATTTATATATACATTTGTCTATATCTATCTCGATTCGTTTTGGCTGTTACAAACAACCGTTATGTGAACAAAATTAATATACCCTTGTGCACAAGTGCGCTCGGGTATAAAAACAAAGATACGTAAAGATAAAGGCAAAAATTAAGATCAAGGTTAATTCAAACAGTTTACTTATATAGGGGTAAAGGTGAAAATAGTAAACATAAACCGATAAAAGTAAAGATGAAGATAGAGGAGGAAAAATTAATATAAAGGGCACTAAATCAGAATTTTTAAGACTACTTAGTCTTCTCAGGGCTATTTCGAGAATTTCGAAACAATTTCGGATTTTTCCTTACATTTATCGATCTTGTTATCGATATTTTTTATATACACTCATCTATATTTTTATCGACGTAATAATCGATTTTGTTATCGATATATTTATAGATATTTTTAACGATATAATAATCGTAATTTTAAATGATATTAATAATAATAATAATAATAATAGATTGGCGCTTTCACATATGTTAGTGTTTGGCCGAGCTTCTCCTTCCATTTGTGGCGTGCGCCTTGATGTTGTCATACAAAGCGGAGGGACCTACAGTTTTACGCCGACTCCGAACGGCGATTGTATTTTTATGAGAAGTTGTTTTTCNTAATAATAATAATAATAGATTGGCGCTTTCACATATGTTAGTGTTTGGCCGAGCTTCTCCTTCCATTTGTGGCGTGCGCCTTGATGTTGTCATACAAAGCGGAGGGACCTACAGTTTTACGCCGACTCCGAACGGCGATTGTATTTTTATGAGAAGTTGTTTTTCATGGCGGAAATACACTCGGAGATTCGCCATTGCCTGCCGAGGGACGATCGCTGCAGCAGGCTGTTAAGAAAAAACCTTTTTTCTATATTTTTGCGATGTTGCTTTGACCAGGTATTTTTTAATGACATTGTTATTGATAGATTTATAAACATATTTATCGATATTTTTATTGATATATTTATGAACATTTTTATCGATACTGTTATTTTCATAGATATGATAATCGATACTACTTGACTGTAAGCCCAAATATAAACAAACTTAAACAAACAGCAAAACAGTCGATAGGACAAACATAAAATTCAATGGGCTATAAAACTGCGTACCCAAAAATTTTCTAAAAATTCAAAGTAAAAAGCTGTATAGAGCTTGAGTCCTTGATTTTTACGGGTCGATGAAAAAAAGTCACCAAACAGTTTTTTGAGTCACTGTATTTGTAACTCCAGTTGAAGTTTTTCAAATGATGAAGTTTCGTTGTTGCCTTTCATTTCATCACTTTCTCTTTTGGTTGAAGGAAGCAGTGAAGATGTCATTGATATAAACTCAAATACCATAAATAAAAAGCCCTGTCATTTAGCGCCGTCTCCGTCTCTACCGTAGGTTATTAGAAACTCTGTCATTACAAAAATAAACTCGGAAGTTTGACATTACCTATCGATAATCGGCAACTTTTAGAAAAAAACTCTAAGTGAATGTTTTTCCTAGAGGTGGATTCTGTAACTGTGAGTTTTCAAGTATACTCTGAAAATTGTGTACACTCTTCACAGGAAGTGCGAGAATAAGTTTTAACTGTCAAAATTGTGTACATTTCTCTTCCAAAAAACTCACAAAATTTTATTCGCTGAGTTTTTGGTTGTGAGTTTTGCATTCGGTGTACACTACATTTTCTCATAGTTACAGAATCCAGCCCCAGGAATCGAATCTTGGTTAAAAAGGGAGGTCCGGAAAAATAGTCTGGGCGACTTCGGGCTAATGAGAACCAAAAATTATTCTCTAAAAGTGGTTCTCAACAGTCCGAAAACCAACCAAGAAACACCAATTGGGCACTCTAGAGCACCCGCGGGTGAGCAAAAGAACAGATTTAATATGAATTTAAAATAAATTCAAGAATACATTACATAAAATTAAGAATTAAATTCATTGAAAAATTCAGGAAGACCTTTCATAAAATGAACGAGAGTTTCTTTTCAATTAGCAGTTTTTCCTATGACTTTTAAAAGGTATTCTTATTAATAAAATCAATAAGGATTCTTTATAGAATTTTGCTGTTTTTTTTGTCTGTTTTCACCCCTGGCCTAGAAACTTTTCATAGAGACAATCTTCTTGTTTCTATGGGTCATATTTCCCTCTGTTTATAGTCCGCAATGCCAACCAGGCTACCCTAAGGTCGAGGCCACGCAATCAGCGGCTGAGCGGCGCCATATAAAAATTCCGCTCAGTGCGTGGCCACTTCAATAGTATTTCATATGTTTTAATTTTAAGCCGCTCAGCCGCTCGCCGCTATGTCGCTCATTGCGTGCCCTCGGCCTAAGGCTGCGGAAAACTCACATACCACCTCAAAAAGTGGCCATGCTTTGGATTTAAGTGAGTGATACTTCCACCCACTCAACTGGACCGGAGCTTATCATTTATCGGAAGTGTAAAGAAGAGCCCTCCTTATTCCCTCCCATTCTCACTTTGCATGTAGATACAATTTTCATGTAAGGAATCTAAGCTCATAGGCTTGGCAAATTTAAGATTTGTGAAGAGCTTGCCACAGGCATTCCGTTGATTACCCGATACTCATATGTAGCTACATACATAAGTGATAAGAACGGCACATGTTCAAATTTCGATTTCTAAATGCTCAACACCGTTCTACATATGCTATGTGTATACTATGTAATTATCAGTGAATTAAGTTGCTGTATTTATACCAATTGATTACAATTTCTATTTCCAAACGATTGACAAATGCAAATCATTCAAAAACTGTTATCGGTTGTTGAAAGCAGCAGTAATTACTTCCTGGTAAAATTCAAAATTTTACTAAGTGTCGATCAGCATTATTTTATTATTTTTATGAAGCAATAGTTCATTCCATTATGACTTTTGCGGTGTGCTTTCAATGAATGCATTAAAAATAAAATAAAATAATAATTTTTAGCAAAAAAAAACCGACTTCAACTCTCATATAAAAAAAAATATATATGTATATATATATCTCATGATCCACTGATCGGATCTTAACCAGATTAGTATGGTTAACCTCTGAGACACTACCTGTCCGATGCAAAAAGAATTATCGGTTGACGTGGTCCAAAGTTATGCGGTAACATACATAAAAAAAAAAACAAAAAAAAAAGATTCCGACGAACTGATAACCTCCTCCTTTTTTGGAAGTCGGTTAAAAAAAACAGGATAGCGCAAAAAAGTGCATACCTGATTAGGCGATAATAATAAACAATTTTATTAAATATATATATATATATGTACATATTCTTATACGCACAGAAAACTTTCGTTAGCGAACAGGGTTGCGTTTGCACATAAAAACACAGCTCTTATCATTATTTTTCAGCATTTAGACAAATACGTAAACCTGTTTGTGTAAAGGAATCTACATCAGTGTAGGTAAGCAAATCCTAAGCTTATCATTTGGGGGCAGCCAAAGTTCATTTAAGCGTATTAGTGAACAAACGATCGCACTGATTCTTGTAAATACTCGTATCAGATCAGTTGTAATTGCAATTGAATTTCTTATTTACTCGTTCAAAGTATAATAATTACACCTAATAACGCTCAAAGCTATGCAGTTTAACTCAGGGAATCGAAGTGAATAGCACACGGAAGTAATTCGTTATTATTCAAAAGCAAAGAAACTAAAGCCATGAAAAAACAAAAATGTTTGCTGTTAGAAATCTGTATTTTGCTTGGAGTGTTTACACTTGCCTCCACTGAAGTTGTAGATATTAAACCATGTGGCGATGTCGACGCTTGCACTGTACACGAGGCACGCATCACTCCTTGCCCAGAGGCTCTGGAACATAAGGCATGCCGTGTGAGTCGTCGTCGCGGGGTCAGCGAAATGTCCTTCGACTTTACGCCCAATTTTGCTGCAGAGACATTGGAAGCCGGCTTGGCTTGGCAGAAGAGCGCCACACAAGACTTGCCGTTGATCACCATGGATAAGAATGCTTGCAAGTATACATCCTGTCCGACTGTTGCAAACCAACGTCAGACGTACAGAATAGACATACCGATCGAGAGTAAATTCCCAATGAGTTCATACACAATCAAATGGACTTTAAAGGCGCCCACTGGGGAGTTTTGCTGTTTTACCCATGACATTAAAGTGGTGCGTTAAACTTATAGATGGTGAAAAAATGAAGAATGCTTTTCAATTCGGTCTGGTCAAAAATAAATTAATTTTTGATATAAAAAGTGATTTTAAGTTGAGAATAAAGTTTGTATAACGAAGATAAATTTAAGATTATGATTTATTTACAAAGAAATATCGTTATAAATCTGATACAGCTCAATGTTTCGACGTCTGAGGTGTTGGTGTGTCTCAACGTTATTTTACAGAGCCATATAAATTTCGCGTGGATAAGAAATTCAGCCATCGCGTCTTAAAGGAGATTTCTTTTGTGCTCTTCTCACTGTTCTTTTCCAGCCGTCATCTGACATATCCATTGGATAATTTGACATGTTTTGCCACAAACGCACTCAGAACGTTTTAATGTGTGTGTTATATTCATTTCAAAAATTCAACTCGACAAAAAATGGAATTAACTCGTGAAGATTTTCGTGCGATTAATTTTCACAATTTTTGATGTGGATAAATAAGACAAGAATGCATCGATGTACTAAAATAATTATACGGCGAGCAAGCAATATATTCTAAAGTATGTTCAGGCAGACAGCTAATGGAGCAAATAGCCAAGCTTTTTTGACCAGCTTTTTTGACCAAGGTGCTAATTGATACAAATTAATACAAAATTTCAATTCTTAATCCCTTGATTACTGCTTTTTTGAGTACTAATTAAATGAATGCTCCATGCAACCCTGCTGCGTATGTTTAATTTTAACTTCGAGGTATGTTTATTGAACAAACGGCAATTAGCTGTTTGTGTTTGGTCCACTTTACAGCTGATTTTCTATCAGGTATGGAAAAATTGAATTGTAACTAATTTGCGAAAAAACTTTACCCAAAAGCAAATAAATGTATCTGAAAAGTAAATATGTTTTTTAATATGTTTATTTTAAAGAAAATATGATGATAACCTTTCCCTTCGATATTTTATGAACTCCTGGACTCACATCAAAGAGCTTGGCTATGAAAAGAATCTCTTCGGGCAGTTCGAACAAAACTATGTTTTACAAAAGGTGGATCGCGTTCCTCCGAGTTCTGCCATCTGATATTTTCGAGAGAAATATTATTTGTCTATCTGGCGTAATCAACTACAGTTATGGTACTTTGCCCTTTCACAAAGGACAGATGCTATTGGATAAGCTACTCACACCAGAAAATGCGTTGAAATGTAAGTAAAAATTAGAACTGATTTCCTAAAAAGTTATTTGACTACGTTCCTAATTTACTTAATTCACTTTTAAACTAAATAAAGGTACGATTGTACCATCACTGTAGCTAATCGATCAGCTGGTTGCGTGGGAACACCAAAAAGAGGTAGCTCAATTAAAATGTTATTTGACTCAATCAAATTTTTACCTACAGTTTTATGCCGACTCCGAACGGCGATTGCATTTTTATGAGAAGTTGCTTTTCATGGCAGAAATACACTCGGAGGTTTGCCATTGCCTGCCTAATTGCGACCACTGTTAAGAAAAGACCTTTTTTTCAAATTTTTTTAGCGATATTGCTTGAACCCAGGCCCTGCGGAGTGGAAGTGCGCACTGCTTACCTCTACACCACAGCGGCCGCCACAACTTAATATTAGCTTCTTAAAAAAAACTGATCTAATCAGGCGATATTTTGCATAGAAGTTGGTTTTGAAAGATTTGGAACCCTTTTAGATGTTCCCTCAGATGTATGCTTTTCTGGTTAAAGCCAGAGACTATACCTCTCAATTTCATCAACATCGGATAACATTTACAAATTCCGCCCACAAAAGCTGTAAGCATGTCAGTGCGTTGCCTTTTACGATTTTTCACATTTCTTCATTCCTAAGTGCAGAATAGAGCATATTTAAACTAAGTTTCAGCGACTTCGTAGTACGGTTACTACTTTTAGCCACAGGTAAGAAGAGAGAACGGTCCTTATTTTTTGCAGGAGCTATGCTCGGTCTCGAAACGTTCCGCAAAGCGCCGACGTTTCTCTGTCGGCCAGTATCTCAAGCTGACTCTTTATCACGTTCTCGTGGAACCCATTGTTTCTGCGGACTCGCTTCACAGGTGCTTTCTGTGAGCCAGAGTGAGAGGTAAAGTCACGCGCTTTGAGGAGTGAAGGACAGTACTTGACCACGAATACTCTCTCGCACCATAAATCCGAAACCAAATTTGCTTTCTTGTACATAGCGTAGGGGTATTAAGGTCTTATTGAATAAGTTAACGCTTTTTTTTCTCAGTGTAAAAAATGTAGTACTGAGAGAATTTCTTCTGATTGCCCAATGTGCGTGCATTAACTTTAAGTCTACAATGGCTCCGAAGCTTATCAATTGAGCGGAGTCAAAGGTGATTATGCCATTTCAGCGTTTTAGCGACCAAAAGCCGCACAAATTCACACTGGCAGGCTTTATCACAGATGGATTTTTATATTTTACTCAGAGGAGCGTATTATATGCAATAAAAAATTCTCAAATTTTTCTTAGTTTTGCTGATAATTCGAATCGAATAGCACACGAAAAATGTCGCTGCTAAAAATCTGTGTTTTACTAGGAGTGATTGTGCTAACAGCCGCAGAAGTTGTCGATATTAAACCGTGCGGCGATGTCGACGCTTGTACTATTCATGAGGCACGCATTAGTCCTTGCCCAGAGGCTCTGGATCATAAGGCATGTCGCGTGAGTCGTCGCCGCAAGAGCAGTGAAATGTCTTACGACTTTTCGACGAATTTCGATGCGCCCACTTTGGAGGCCGGCTTGGCTTGGCATAAGAGCGAAACACAAGATTTACCATTGATCACCATGGATAGGAATGCTTGCAAGTACACTTCATGTCCAGTTGTCGCCAATCAAACTCAAACATACAGGATAGATATCCCACTGGATACGAAATTCCCAATGCATACCTACGCAATCAAATGGACATTGAAAGCGCCCACTGGACAACTCTGCTGCTTCACCACCGAAATAAAAGTGGTGCGTTGATGGGAAAATTAATTTGATTTAACATTGAAAAGAAATTAATGTACATTAAATCGTATGGCAAGAATTACATTTAAAGCACTATTATAACTCAACTCTATTTCAAATGTGATACTTAATTCTGGTTAATATGGTTGTTGGTGGCAAAATAAAATCGCACTATTTACCTAACAGTTTTATATGATACACTCTTTTTCTGGTAGAGTTTTTTAGAGAAAATTTTATTTTAAACAGGTAAGTTTGTATTTGTGTGACTACATCAAAAGGCACACCACAACTTGGAGGTGAAGCTGGTTTTAACGCTTAACAAAAATGTGGGCGCAAAATATTTATTTTGATTTTATGTAGACAGACTTTTTGTTCGCAAATTATTGCTCATAAATAACGCTTGTGAAATTCTTTCTGAACACTGATTTTAAATATAACGTTTAACTGACTAATCAAATTTCTCTTTAAAAACTTAATTGCTATGTGGCCAATTAAAAAGAAATTTATGTAATTTACTTTAACTGTAATGCGATGACGCCGTGGGGGTTTGAACAAAGCGAATTTGTATAGGTTTTGCAGCCTAAAACCAATTACATTAGGTATGTAATACAAAGGCCATAAAAAATAAATAGAAAATTATGCACAGATCCATCAAGAAATTCAACAAGTCAACAGAATTTCAAATGTATTCAAATGCTGTATATCCAATGACGTTTCTATGTGTGTCTAAGGTACCTAAATGCTGAGGCTTTTAAAGTTATTTATTTAGCAAACCAACAAAGATTGTGTCAAGGTGACTGAGTTGGTGTAATGTGATTATGCAAAATCAGTTAATTTAAAAATGTAATAAAAATTAAATAAAGAAGTAAATTATTAAGCACCGGGGAAAAATTAGACAAACATCAAATAAGTCGAAATCTTAAGAGACATTGCTAATTACTTATCGGCAATGCTAAGCAATTAAAAATAAGCAATAAAAAGAGAAAAGGAAAACAATGAAGAGGCTAGATATTGCTTGAGTGGTCATTGGGGTGGTGCAAAAAAGTAAAGTCGGAATTTTAATGCTCTCACCCCCTCGGATTGTTCTATACCGAAAATTATACCCATATTTTTTATTTAGAAATCAATAAATATTTAGAGGTCGCTCAAAGCGCTTAAAGTTTTTCATGTATTTTATATAGGGAAAAACAACTTTTCTTAGAAATGGTATAGAATTTTAAAAAATCATTATTTTTGGATCGCAAAACTTAAGTTCTCTTCAGAAGATTTCCAGTAATAATAATAATAGATTGGCGCTTACACATATGTTAGTGGATGGCCGAGCCTCTCCTCCGATTTGTGGCGTGCGCCTTGGTGTTGTCACACAAATCGGATGGACCTACAGTTTTACGCCGACTCCGAACGGCGATTATATTTTTATGAGAAGCTGTTTTTCATGGCAGAAATACACTCGGAGGTTTGCCATTGCCTGCCGAGGGACCAGTAATAATAACCAATTGTTTATTTAGCCATTTTTAATACAAAAGATTTTTTATTAACCCCCCTCATCGCACTTTCTGGGGTTTTTCTACATATGCATATAAGATAATTAAGCGCCACTGGAAAATTCAATCCCCACGACGAAGCGTTCGATAACGGATTGGGGCTTGTCGACTTCGCCGCAGCGCTAAACAGTGCATTATGTAGTACCAGCATAAAAAGGTCCAGCCTCCAGATCGGAAAACGAGAAACCAATTCGACCATGTTGTAATAGACGGAAGGCTTGATTACAGTTTGGTTTGGACGTACTACGTACACCCCAAGGGCCAAACATCGACTCGGACCACTATCTTTTGTTGCAGCCAAGATACGCAGCCTCCTCTATGCAGCAAAAAATATGCGCCCATTAATGCAAGGAAAGATCCGCGCCGAAATGCAGCAATCCCAATAGATAGCCAATTTATTCTCCACGCGACTTGCACACCTGGGGGGCTACTCTGTAATGCGAAGGGCTTGACATGTTGGCGGACAGAGTAAGGCGACTTATGGAAGGTTTAAAAACTAGGGCGAACTCCTGTAAGAACAACCATGGGGACCGATGTCCACAACGTACTTAAATTATGGACGGAACACTTTTCCCTATTGAATTGCATCAGCACTAAGAGGAGGGGAGAAACCGAACCGAGCCCCTAGTCGGCGAGTCGATGTCCCACCGCCTGAATATGACGAGGTACGAATAGAGATTACGCGGCTGAAAAACAACAAAGCAGCTACAACTGCTAGCCTGCCAGCCGAGCTACTCAAGTACGGAGGCGTGCAGCTGATAAGATGTATGTAGAATATGCTCTGTCGAATCTACAAAAAAAAGCGACACCGCCATACTCGCCAACTATCGCGTGATCAGCCTTCTAGGCATAAATAGGTTACAAGGTCTTATTGTGCGAAAGACTGAAGCCCACCGTCAACGAACAGCCTTATCTGTGCGGCTTTAGACCTGGCAAATCCACCATAGATCAGGTATTAACAATACGCCAAACCTTGGAAAAGACCCTTTGGGGAAGATAAAAGAGGCGCAGAACTGAACCACTCAGGCACAATGCTTTACAGGAGCGTAGAGCTCTGGCTTATGCCGACGACATCGACACTATCGGCAAAAATGAAGGCTACGTCTGTTCTGCCTTCTCTCTCAGGATTAGATGGAGAAGTAAAGAGCATGGAATTGGTGGTCTGGTGGTGAACGAGGGCAGAACGAAACATCGCGCAAACAGTCAAAACATAAACATTTTGGCACTCACGTCGTTGCTGACACTGTTCACTTGACATTTCCAACCGGCGCCAGTTGGCACATAAAATAAACGACTGGCTTATTGTCGAGGACTCGGCCAAAATCGCATAAGCGGTTACAGCGCCAATAAAGAAGAAGAGAACGTGTCTAATTAAAGGGGTGGAGCTGTAGACGTGCAATAAAGTTATCTTTTATCCAAAAGAGTTGCCAGCTTTTAAAAAAATTATTCAAGTTATTTAAAAGTCAAATCAATTATTACAATGTGCGTACGAGTTAAACTAGTTTTGAAAGAGCCTTACTTCTAAAGTACATGTAGGAGGGTTGCCATCTGTTCAAAAAATCAAATTCAACATGAATTAGGCCAGTTATGAATTGTATTCCAATATGTGCAGCAGACGACAGAGGTTTAAGAAGTTTTTAGCTTAAAACTAAGTAAAAGAGGGTTACCGCCTGTTTTAAGAGTCGAATTTAGTTATACAAGAACTATATTTAACAATAAATGTATGGGTATAATTCAAAAAGGTGTTAAGAATTTTTAGTTTGAACACTTAGAAACAAATGCGGCGTTTGAAGGAGTTTGCCACCTGTTTAAAAAGTTAAATTTCAATTATTTAATAAGTAAAATGAACTATTCAAATATGGATATCAGTCAAAATGGGCATGAAATTCGCTATTTATGAATTATCTTGAAGAGGGTGGCCATGTGTTTCCGAAATCAAATTCGACCTAATTCATCAGTTAACTTGAATATGTATTACGTATTGTATTAAGATTATTGTTGCCACCTGTTTGAAAAATCGGACTTAATTAACTTATATACATACAAGTTATTTAAGATATAAAAATCTGGATTGCCAACGGAAGCGTTTTAGGAGAGCTTAAGTGTAAAAGTCACATCTATCTATGTACAGATATGTATGTCTATATGTATATATCAGATCTGCATTGCTCTTTCGAATTTCAAAAATGTACAATAAGGTTTCATTTTTAGAAGTTAGAAGTTTTTCTAACGGTACAGGGTGATTTGAAATTTGATGAAATGAAAAACCGAACACATGCGAGACCACTTTCACTCAGAAACAGCGGTACGGATTTAGATAAAATTTGACACATGGATCGCTTATAGCTCTGACTTGCATTACGAATATTTTTTAAGTTTTTGAAGAGGGTTGCCACCTGTTTAAAAATGGTAAATTAAATATTGGCATTTTAACGCCGTGCGGGTTCACTGCTGTACTATGTACAAAACGTAATAAATTAACAGAAGTACATGGGTATGCATGTTTGTATTTGAAGATGCTATAACTTTTTTTTACGAAACCTTGAACCCAAGTCAAGAAGCGCACAAATAAAGTACAAGTAATTACTTAATTCTTAAATATTCTGTTAACGCCGTCACTGGCTTGCTAAGATGTGCTAAGATATGTATCTCCTGCATATTAATTAGATTTTTGTAAATATTTTTTTGTTTCTATCAAAGTACCCAATGCAATAGTGCTTGGTTGGCAGCCTTGTAGTGAAGGTATGTTGGTGCAACCGCAAAAAGAACAACCCAACCAGAACCCAAATCGCCTGAACCTAACTGGTATCGCATTAATTTGCCGTAAGTTCATTAAGTAATAAAGCATTTGTTGTTGTTGTTCGCTTTTTCGTTCACTACTGAAAACCAGTAAAGAAGCATAACGCTCATAGCGGCGGAAAAAAATGATCAACAAATTTCATTTTAATGAATTAATTTTGTTATTCTGAGTTGTTTATTTAAAATGCGCAGCGTCGAAGTTGGTAAAAATGCAAAAAAAAATGCCACCCGAAACGAGTATTCAAAGACTTATGTAAAAAGAAAAAAACAATTTGAGCAACCACGGATGCTTATAATTTATGCCAAAAATTATGTATGTACTAAAAAAAAGTGGTTGAACTGCTTTATTTTAATTTGTTCCCTCTTTTATTGACTTCCCTTTTTTTTAAGTAGAACGCGCGCGTGCTGTCCTGCCCCTTCGCGTGGCGGGTCTATGAATTTTCATGGATTTTTATTTTTATTTAATTCTTTTACTACAGATTTTCATTAGCATTTTTCACTGTTGATTATGTTGTTGCTGATTTACAATCAGTCGAAGCTGAGAAAACTTATTCGCCAACATGGTTGCTCGAGGCTGCGCTGGCAGCCATAAAGTGGTTTCAAATTTCTATATCGAAATTAATTGTGGCTAGTACCTGGCTTACTTTTGAATTTCTTATGGCAAAAATTTATTAATAAAGAAATTTGTAACACAATAATTATCGATTTTTAGAGAAGATTGCCAGAACGGGAGTGATCTCCGCTCGTACATTGGGGCATCGTATTAGACGAACTACTCCGCCATCTTAGTGACATGTTTAGAGCTACGAAACCCTCACAGATCTTCTACAGAGTGCGCTGAATATTGT